AATGGATTTATCAAGAATGCAAACAAATAAAAATTTGTACTGAAAATGAATGCACATGCTCTGCAGGTTATAGAAATTATGAAGGATATGACTGCTATTATYGTAAGTTTTCTCCACAATGAAACAGGAACTTAAATAATGTAGAAAACAAACAGATTGTGAATATGGAACTTATGGACATGGATGCAGGAAAAAATGTGGAAATTGTTATTATGGCAGAAATAATTGTGATAGGATCGATGGAACCTGCGATAGAAACCAATGTGAAATAAATTACTCAGGCCCAAAATGTGACAAAAGTAATTTAATTCCAATTATTTTAAGACACTTATTACTCAATATATTCCCACAGGATCAACAGTAACTTTTCTACAAGCACCGTCAGTTACAAGCATTACTTACACAAGTGCCACTGTAATATTAACAAATTTTACAGTTGAAAATGATTTAAATGTAGAAATAACTGGATATTTATTTCAATATAAAGTTGAGATTGCTATTGCATTAAACAAAATACAATTTATTTATTTTAGGAAGCAGATAATCAGATTAAGAATTGGGAAAATACTAATTTACTTTATTTTGGACAAATCACACCGACAACAATTTCTGATTTAAAACCAGACACAAAATACTTCGTTCGGGCTGTTATCAAGTCTTCAGATGGTAAAATCTACAGTGATTACGTCGAAAAGTATATAGATTTTACAACAAAATGCGAAGGTAGTTCATTAAAATTAACAATTTTGGTTTTATTTCTCTCTTATTGTTCCAGATGTGACTAAAAATCAAGTTGATATCACACCATCAAACACAAGTGCAACTGTTTTAATCCAGGTAACATTGATGTTTCCAAATTTTCTAACTCGAAAGAAACCTTTCAGAGGAAAGAAAATACGTGCAAATTAACTAAATACTCAGTTAATGTGGCCGATATTGGGAAAGGAAATATTTTAAACGAAAGTGCAATCATTTTTGACAAATTGAAACCATTCACTCATTACACTTTTAATTTAATCATCAGTGACAAAGTGAACATAGAAAAAAAATTTCAAACGACTGAAGGAGGCAAGGATTAACCTTAATTATCATTTCGTTATATTTCTTGTGCAATTTCAGTGCCTCAACAAATTTCTAGCTTAATTATCACCAATGTATCTGAAACGTCCATCGATATTAAATGGTCAAAACCGGAATTAATAAACGGCCGTTTCAAACATTACGTCGTTGAATATCAGGTTTTTTGGCAACCACTGTATTAAAAATATTAAAATCGTGTTTCAGCGGATTTATTCCCGAGCGTGCAATCAAAATTTGTTACCACCACCAAACCCAAAAAAAACTAAAACGGCCAGCGATTACATCACATTACAAGACCTAACTCCTTATTCGAATTACAAAATAACTGTTTTTGTCAAAAATTCGAAATTTAAAGGTCCTCCAATCACTCAATATGAAAATACATTATCATCAAATAAAATCGAAACGAATGAAATTCCCAAAATTGGACAAATTAGTGCAAGTCATTATGCAGCCAGAATAATTTTTTTGAAAACTCGATGTGAGGACATGAACGGCCCTTTGTGGTTTCAAGTGAATTATAATTGTACGAATCCATGGTGTCCAACTTCTATTATCAATCTCTCTCTAGTAGAGTATAATTTTAAGACGACTTACTATGATTTAAATAACCTACAAGCATTTTCAAATTATACGGTACAAATGAAGTTCTGCAGAAATGAGAGTTGTGATAATTATGTTACCGAATATTCAAAATTTAAAACAAAACCAAGCGGTAATAAAAAAAATATTATAAGCTTAAAATTAAAATGAGAAATTTTAGTGCCAAACGAAGTCAGAGATTTGTTAGTTTACTCAAAAAATGAAAATTCTGTTTCTTTGAGGTGGAAACCTCCTTATCCACCAACAGGTATTTTAAGTGAATACAAGATTATTTATAAATTTTATAATAATTACTACCGATTGGAAAATACAAAAATAACAAAATGCCATTTATGGCCTAAATTTTATTGTGCTAATGTGATTAATTTAAGGTCTAGTAAAACATATACTTTCGAGGTAAGATATAGGTAATGAAATTATGTTTAAATCAACTGATTTTGCTTCAGATTTCCGGTAAAAATCTTGAACCAACTGATTTTGGACGAAAGAAATCAATTGAAGCTTTTACGGAAACAGGTTGTTACACCACCAGTGTTGCCAGGTTCAAGAAAATAAAATTCACCAAATCCAATTTAAAAAAGTTGCCCAATTACACCTATTTCCACCAGATTACAAAATTACAATTTAAATCTTTCCAATAGTATCAAAAGTTTACAAATGGATTTTCTAGCTAAAAAACGTGCAAATTTTCAGCTTAATATGTTGATTTTTTGGTTTGTTTCAGTAAAATTAAAAAAAAAAACTGAGACTTTGGTAAAAAACCGTGTTTAAGAAAAATTTTCACTAAATTTTGGGGTTTCTCGATTTATTTTTCCCTTAATTAAAATTAAAAAGTTCACCTCTGGTTCAAAAACGGAGTACTTAAGTCGAGCAAAACAAGCTAAAAATAATATCACTCTCAAGTTAACTTTGTAATTTTTTAGCCTGTTTAAACGAATTTTTTTTGCCTTTATTCAAAAACGTGCTTAAACACGCAAAAACCAAAAAAATAGTACCATTTTTGTCTTTTGGCTTGTTAACAAAATTTTACGAAATAATTGTTTCAAGCTGAAAAAAATGTGCTAAATTACTCGAAAAGGGCAAAAATGACATAAATTTTTGGATTGTTGTTAACGAAATTTTACGAAATAATTATTTCTAGATGAAAAAAATGTGCTCGAAAAAGGTAAAAATGACATGATTTTTGATTTTCCGGCTTGTTTTTAACAAAATTTTGCAAAAAATGGCATTTCTAGCTCAAAAACTAATAATTTGTTAAATTTTTGCTTTATTCTATCAAAATTTTGCAAAAAAACTGAGATTTAGGTAAAAAGACGTGTTTGTAAGAATTGTCGACCAAATGTTGTAGTCTCTATGCTTATCTTTGTCTTAATTTTGTTCAAAAACCAGCTAAATCAAGTAAACCAAACAAGATAACATTAATATCAAGTCTTTTTAAGATTTTTAGGCGTGTTTAAACAAGATTTTGCAAAATAGATTAGCCGAGCAAAACAAGCTAAAAAATAATATCAATCTCTATTTAATTTTGTAATTTTTATTTTTTTTTATTTCAGAAACGTACTTTAAACACTAACACAATTTTTAACATACTTTGTCAAATTTTTTGTTTATTAACGAAAGTGTGCGAAATAATTGTGTTTCTAGCTGAAAAATGTCCCTAAATCTTGTAAAAAAAACAAATAGAAATATTTCACTAATTTGATGATTTTTCGATGTTTTTTGAGAAAATTAGGCAAAATAATCATGTTTCTGCTTGAAAAACGTTGAAAATGCTCAAAAAAATACACAAATAATATTTATGTTTGACAATTTTTTTAATTTCCAAAAAAATCACCTAAAATTAAAATTTTGATAAAAGTTTTCACCAAATTTTACCAGACCTAGCAACACTGTACACCACTGATCCAGCTTTATTTCGAAAGTTACATTTATAATTTATTACTTCCAGGAAAATCAGAGCCTCCTTACGACTTAAAGATGAAATGGACGACAAAAAATGATTTAGAACTAGAGTGGAAACATCCCAACGTAACAAATGGGGAAATTGAGTATTTTAGCATCGGATTGTTTGGCACAGGTTCAGATTTTTCACAAAATCTACTAATAAACAACTACAACTTAACTTATCACTTTAAAGTAAAAACAAAATTGATAATAATGAGATAAAATCGATTTCCTTGCAGATTAACTCTAAAGAAATTCGACCAACTATTGATTACACGTTACAAATTGCAGCTTGTAATAGAAAAAATGAGGGAAAATCCTTAATTGGAAATAATACGAGTCCACCTGATATTCCACAACTTGATGATCTCCAAACTGAAACCTCTAACGAAACAATTCTTGTCAAAATTGTCCCCAAAAAACTGCGAGGAAAAACAGATCTTTCACAATTAATGTTGTTTATTTCTGAAAAAACTACCAACGCCAAATTGGAGAATAATGTTGTGACTGGATTAGACAATTTCAGACTTGTGTCTAATTGCACTTTAAAAACAACTTCTTTTAAACATCTGACTATTGGAAACAGCCAACAATGGACCCAATGTACTAGAATTGATAATCCCCCCTTAAAACCCGGAACTCACTACAACATATCTGTAGTTTTAATCAATTTTTTCGGTCAAACAAACCGAACAAATCTATTTACAATAAGCACAACGACAACAGGCACTCCAATTTACTCAGGCCCAAATTTAAATTTGCTTGCGTTACTGGTTTTATTATTTATCATACCTTTGATTATAATTTTGTACATGTAAGAACATTTTTTTAAATTTCATTTAAAACATTACTTATTTGTAGAAAAAGACAAGTTATTTTATCTTTGATCTTGAATCCAGGAGAAAACACAAGTCAAGTTTTAGACGTAAAAGATGACCAAATTCCTCTAACAGGCCTAAAACCCGAACCACCGCAAAAAAGAAACCCCAAAATCGCAGTGGTAAGCACTTGTTTGGTGTTAATTTAACAAATTTTTTTATTTTTTTAGAAACCTAAAATCCACTCCAAATGCATTAAAATCACCGAATTTGAAGAGTATGTGAAAGAATCGATTCAAAGTGGCGAATTGGAACGCCAACACGCTGTAAGAAATTATTTCAGTTTGTTTCTATATTTTGCGTTTTATTTTAGTTGTTTCCTCGTGGCCAAACCAACCCCTGGAATTACGGTACTTTAAGAGAGAACAAATCCAAAAATCGTTACAATAATTTAATAGCATGTAAGAAAAAACACTTCGGGAACACAATCATTACAATTTTTGATTTCAGATGACCACAGTCGAGTTATTCTTGAAAAAATCAACGGGGATTCCCACTCTGACTACATCAATGCGAGTTACATTGACGTAAAGTTGAGTTTTGTGTTATTGACAATTTTGATGGTTTTTTCCAGGGTCACAAAGTACCAAAAGCTTACATTGCGACTCAAGGCCCTAAAGCCGCCACACTTGACGATTTTTGGCGAATGATTTGGGAAAAAAACGTGATGCACATTGCGAATCTCGCCAATGTTTATGAAGGGGGAAAGGTAAAAAAATTGTCATTACCAACAAATTCCAATTTTTTTTTGTTCTAGAAAAAAGTCGAAAAATATTGGCCCGACATCAACGAAACCCTCAAATTTGGTCCCATTTCCGTTCAACACCTCTCAACTCAAGTTTTCGCCGACTACGAACATCGAACCTTCTCCATATCCCAAAACAACGAAATCAGAAAAGTACCACTTGACCCCCACTTGACTTTTTCACAAATTTGTCTTCAGGTCGACCAACTACACTTCATGTCATGGCCGGACCACGGAGTTCCTCTCTACTCCCAAAGTTTGGTACCCTTTTTGCAAAAACTCCTCAAAATCCCTCTCAGCACCACTTTCCCAATCGTGGTTCATTGCAGTGCTGGAGTTGGTAGAACCGGAACCATCCTCTTGTGTGACATCAGCCTGAGAATGGCAGCCCGCGAGGGCAGTATTGACGTTTTACGCAATTTGGAACACTTGAGACACCAAAGGGCCAACATGGTCGACAACATTGAACAGTACAAATTGGCCCATTTGGTGATTTTGGAATGTTTGGTTGGTATGCACACTAGTATCAACTGTAGCGAAATCAAAGACTCAATTAACCGGATTTTGACAAATGGGACAACAACTTTACAGTTGAGATATTTAAAAGACACCCAATGGCAAGACCAAGCGATGAAAACAGTGGGACAAACCAACGAAGAAGTGCCCATAATTGAGGAAAAAAATCGCTTCAAGGAAATCATCCCTGGTAATAACAAACCCTCAAAATTGTCACACTTGACCCAATCTTTCAGAAATCCAAGGCCGGGTTTTTCTCTCCCGTTTTCCCAGCAATGATGACACTTCGTCGTATATAAACGCAGTCAAAGTTGACGGTTTTCGGTCCCCTGGTCGATTTATAGTCACCCAACAACCAATGCCCAACACTGTGGGCGACTTTTGGCGACTTATCGACGAAAATAACATCAGTGTTATTTTGTCTCTCAACGAAGTAAATCTCAAAGAAAAGACTTCGTGTAGGTTTTGGCCCACACGTAGCCAACCTGAAATGACTCCAGTCCCCCACATCACCCTCAAATACATCAACATTGCCCCTTCTGAAAGCTGCAATATCACAACCGTTCATTTAATTGCAAATTCTAGGAAAGAGCATCTTTCAGTCCAAATAATTTCAATCAAACATTGGCCACCGGGGAATCACTGCCCGGATAATACCGGTCATTTTATAACATTTTGGGAGGAATCTGATGCGATAAGTCGCAGATCAAATCCAGTCCTTGTAACTTGCTTGTAAGTAATGCTCGAATTTTTTATTTTTGACTACTTTATACAAAAATTTTAGTGATGGAGTTACAGCATCGGGTTTATACGTGGCCTTGTCTTTCGTTATCGAAAAAATGAAATTAGAGCAAGTTTGTGATGTTTGTCAAGCTGTAAGAAGTGTGCGACATAATCGGGAACAGTTTGTTCAAAACGTGGAACAGTTTGAGTTTTTGTATAAAGCGGCATTGCTTTATATTGACAAATTTCAAGAATACGCCAATTTTAATTAAAAACTTATTCCAACTAATTAAAAGCAATAAATATATTTTTACTTTCTTTTTTGTTTATTGAACTTCTTTGAATTTAAATTTCGCGGGCGTTTAAGTGACAGCGTTCACGGTTAGGCAACCAACAATACATCAAACACAAGACTAATTAAAAAAACGAGTTTTAGAACTTTTATTGAGACCTTGACGTTGATTATTTGATCTTTGCACATTAAATTATCAAAATTAATTATAAATGCAGCTTTAGAAGTTTTAATAAAGCGACAATTCGAGAAAACTCTTAATGACGTCACCCCCAACTGTCATCTGTCAAAAGTGACAAATCTCTTATCTGGAAAGTAATGTAAAACGGTGCTATAAAACGCCATTACAAAGCTGAATCGGATAGCAATCAGTTGGTGTTTTAATTCGTTTTTTTCGTTTTAATTATGTTTATAAGTGCCATAGAGGCAGTGAATTCAGATTCGAGTACGGACAGTAATAGTGACCAAGCCATGCCTGCTATATTGAGTAGTAATTCGTAAGTATTTGGGGCACACAGTCCCATATTTGTCTCTTTTATTCACATTTCACCTAATTGTGTCATTCCCCGTGTTTTGTACCAAACTTGTAATTTTTCACCCGAAAAAAAAACACAAAAACGCAGCCCTCTTATCTATTTTATAAATAGAAAGTTCTCGACAATAATAAATGACGATCAAAGTAAACAGTTGCATTGTTGGAGCCTACTTGGTAAACCTTCCAGCCACCCAAACAATTCGTCAAGATGACACTTGTCACGTCCACCGCACTATTCATTTGGCCGTTTGGTTTAAAAAACCGCAGTTTTGACCCAGTGTTTTTCCATTCGTAACAATGCATGTTTTTTATTGGATCAATTAAACGACCACGTGACATAATCGTTTTGACACACGCAGACTTGATAAAAAAATCAACATCGTATACCTCAATAAATAAATAACACAACTGCGTATTATTTTCTTGGCGAAATTGCCAAAAATTTTATTTTCGACTAGTTTTCCCGAGTCTTGAGGTCAGTTTTCCTGGCGATTTGCTGTGGTCAAAATGGAAGGTCTTAAATGTGATCAAAATATTCGTTTGGAGGAGTAAGTTAGTGTGTTATTGACCCATTTAACTAATTTGTGCTTTAAAGGGGTCATTGGATATGCAAATTGCTGCAAAAAACTTGTCAGATTTGCTAATTTTTTTCGGTTGATTAGTTATAGGATGAGCGTGACCTTTCGCGAAATGTCATCACAAAAAACACGAAAATGTGATAAATCTTATCTGAAAAATTTTGTTTGGGATACAGGGTGTCTCAATTAAACCTTTAATCTTTTGAAGCTGTTTATTTAGTCTAGATTACGGTTTTTTTCTTTTAAAACACAAAAGGTAGAACAGGTAAAAATAAAATATTTGTGCTTTCGTTCTGTGGTAGAGAGGAAACACAAATTGAGTCAAGGTTATGAGCGATAATTATATTGTGATTACGGGCTTTGTTTTCTAGAAAACTACGGTCAAATGTAAATTTCTTATCAGATTTGATAAGTAGTAAAATGTGTATTCCAAAAGTTCGGTTCAACAATAAAAAAATTGATTTTAAATTTATCGCGCCATATTCAAAATTGTTCAAATTTTCAAAAACGGCGTTGTGATTGGCTGAAACTTCCAGGAGTCAACCAATGACACTCTTGGGACTAGTCGCGGTTCAATGACCCCGAAATGATAATTATTACTTACAAATATTGTCTTCGCAGATTCTTAAGCCACCACAGACGCACTTTTCACCGTTTTTACTCACTTTCGGGTAAAAAAACCGACGCGAAATAATTTTTTTAGCAATGATTAAAAGTTAGGTTACGTAACACAAACAAGTACACCAAATGCACAACCGAACTGTGAATTACCAATTTTCAGCTTTTTTCACCCAAAATCATCACGAATTTGCGTTGGAAACACTGATAACACGTAAATTTGATAAAATCAGGGATTCACCACAGCCAACTCTTCGCGGGTCAACTAAAGCGCCACCTAGTGACTTGATTACTTGCGCTTGATTTGAAAAAAAATCATTCGAATTTTTAATAATATAATCAGAATACTTGATAAAATCTGAAAATTTCGAGGCGTAGTAAAAATGTGTGTTTCAGAAGTTCGATTCAAAAATAAAAAAAGTGATTTTAAATTTATCGCGCCATATTCAAAACTGTTGAAATTTTCAAAAGCGGCGTTGTGATTGGCTGGAACTTCCAGGAGTCGACCAATGACACTCTTGGGACCTGAAAAGGTTCAGTGACCCCGAAATGATAATTATTACTTACAAATATTTAAAAAAAAAACTGTCTTCACACATCCTTAAGCCATCACAGACGCACTTTTCACTGTTTTTATTCACCTTCGAGCAAAAAAAACGACGCCAAACATTTTTTTAGCAATGATTAAAAGTTAGGTTACGTGACACAAACACATAACAAAAGTACACCAAATTCACGACCGAACTGTGGATTATCAATTTTCAGCGTTTTTCACCCAAAATCATCACGAATTTGCGTTTGAAACACTGATAACGCGTAAATTTGATCAAATCAGGGATTCACCACAGCCAACTCTTCGCGGTTTATTAAAACGCCACCTGGTGGTCAAGCGCGAACCGGCGGGAAATTCAAATTTTGTACATTTTATGAGTTTCATTGATTACGACCTTGGATTTACAACTGAGGGAAATGATTTTTGTTAATTTTTCAGAAGTATGTTGAGTAGTAAGCGCCCCGCGTGCAGCGCCAGCGAGGCCGATTGCTACAACATGTCTCTGGGCGCCGGGCCTCTGTGGTGGTCCTGATGCCCCTGGGGAGACCAGGGGCCCGTCGCCGTTGCGACTAACTTTCCGCACTGCCCGTCAGCCTTGGGACGCGGTCTTACGGGGGCAGACGCTCTACATCGCTCTGCCCCCGCACGTCCTGCCCGAGGGCTCCCGTGAGGCCTTCGTCGCGCTCCTAGAGGCCGCCGAAGAGCAGCTCAAATGCCAGCATGTAGTCGTCGTAAGTGCGCCACTGGCCCAACCTGTCACCAGTTACCATAGCAACAAACTTTGTTTCCCTAACAACAATTGAGAAACGTCTTTGTTGCCATAGTAACAGCAGTGGCAGCTCGTGTGGGGGTGTTAAGGGGGCTTTTTGCAGGTTTTTGAGAGCGACCGACCGGACCGGGCCATGCTCGTCCGCACCTTCATGTTCCTGGGATTTGCTGTGCTCTCGCCTACTTCGCCACTGGTGCCGCCATCGCTGTCCTCCGGCCACGTGTGCATGCTCTACAATATCGAGTGATCGACCCCCAGAAAAGCCTCGGGCCTCTCGAGTTTATCCACTAATAGTTAGGGTAGGGTAGGGCTAGGAAAATCGTTATGTTTTAATTTAGAGAGACTTTAAGTGTAATTACACAACGACTCGTAAATTTTAACGTAGGTTTTTGATTTAAGCAGTCATTAGTGTATTTTAGATGTACACGTGGGTGGACACGAGAGGTAAAAGTTAAGAAAGTTACAAGTAGCTGTATTGGTAGTGCGGAATTATGCCCCGATTAATTCAAAAAAATTACAAAAAAATACATAAAATTGTTCAAAAATACCAAAAAAAAACTTATATTCTATTAAGTTTACCGGCATTAAGTTTCTTATTTTAAGTGGAATTGTTTGTGTATAAGTATTTGTAAGTCATTTTATGTACTTTCATTCCTTCAGTTACAATTTCATTATTAGTACGTAATTAATGTCTTAAATAAAGTTTCTTTTACTTTAATCAGTTGGACTAAACTTTATTTTTCCAAACCATATAAAAGTCTACACTTTACATAACATGAAAAACAAAAAAAATAACAATAAAATAAAGGCCAATTTCCGTACTTGAACCTAATAGACTGAAAAACACCACTTTTTTTACTTCCTGTTGTAAACGTACCTATTCAGAATAAAAGAGGCCACGAATGGCCAAGCTATTATAAACACGATGGCTTCTAATGACAATCGCGTTGATCGATGTTTACTAACAACATTTGACCTTTCTAATGTATTTATTTTACTGGTGAGCCTTTCAACATCAGCCTTCAGACTCTGCACAGCCTTAGACACTTCCTGAGATATATCTACACTGGTTTGTGATTTCGTTCTTGAACGTGAAACGTGCTCTTTCGGAATGTATCCATTTGACATTTGCTCGGAATTGACTTTTTTCGATTCTGGAAACTAAAAAAATAATTACTAAAATGAAAATCCCCAAAGAAAAACCAACCTCAATGGTGTCTATATACTCATCATCGCTATGATCCGACTCCTCGGGGGCCGACACCGGCGACACATCCCGACTCCTGAACATCCTAATCGGCGAGGCCTCTCTCGAGGCCAACGGCGAGTTCGGCTGCGAACGCACCTTCTCCAACACGTCCCCCGCCACCAACTCCAAATCGTCCATTATCATATTGACACACTCGATCTCGTCGGTGGGGGCCTCCAAGAAATTCGCCACCTTATCCGAATAACTCATCGTTTCGACAATTGTGTGCAATTCATCGACGTATTTCGACATTGCCATCGCCTTGGGCATGTCACCCAGACACTTCCAAGCGTCGTATTTCGCACGACCCACCACGTCGTAGAAGGCGGGACGTCGGCCCGTGCACGGCCCCAAAGTCGCCTGCTTGTAGTAGGCGTAGAAACGGAGCATGAGGTCATTGCTGGGCTGATATGAGCCTAAGAAGAAAAACAGTTTAAAAAAAAATAATTTTTAAATTTCTCGCGCCACATTTTAAATTTGTTCAAATTTTCAAATGCGGCGTTTTGATTGGCCGAAACTTTGAGGAGTCGACCAATGACACTCTTGGCTCCGGTCGAGGTTCAACGACCACGAAATGATAATTATTACTTACAAATATTGAAAATAACTGTCTTCGCGGATTCTTAAACCATCACGGACGCACTTTTCACCTCGTTTATTCACTTTCGAGTCAAAAAAACCAACGCAAAAAATAATTAAATGTGAGGTTATGTTACATAAACACATAAAAAAAAGTGCACCAGCTCACAACCGGAGTGTGGATTACCGATTTGCGACGTTTTTTACCCAAAATCATCACGAATTTGCGTTTAAAACACTAATTACGCGTAATTTTGATAAACTCTGGGATTCACCACAGCCAACTCTTCGCGGTTCAACTGAAGCGTCACCTGGTGGCTAATCGCGGGAAATTCAAATTTGACCAATCAGGGCAAGGCTTTCACTTTTGACAATTGTGAAGCCTTCTACGATTTGTCTAAATTTTGTAATTATTTGAGAAAAAAAGCGATTTTTGATCCCTAATAGGGATTAGTGGGTCGCAAACTCGCAAACACCCGTCATTTTTACTTTCACTCGGTCGTTCAACCAAAATTAAAGCAATTTAGTTACGCAATGAGGAACAAAACCGAAACTTGAAACATCTCACATTTCACTCCTGTTTTCATCAAAATGGTAATAATTGAGCCAAGTGGCTATCCTTGACCTGTGTACCTTTGCAACAAAACAATACGCTTATCAAATTGTGACTTAATTATCAACAAAAACGAATTTGTCGTCAGAGAATGATCGACTAAAATCTAACCCAAACAAGACGTCCTTGGGGTTTCTCGCGGCGTTCCTGGAAAATTTCGCGAGGCGCGACAGGGGGCTCGGGTTCGTGATAAGGGGGCTGTGTGTGTTTTTGGCCGCAGAAGGGAAATAATTACCGTTTTTTGGTAAGCTTCGAATGACGTTGACAGCAGCGTTGAATTTTTCCTCAGTGGTCATAATTACTAATTTTCACTAATTTGTTTATACTTAGAAAGAAATTATCACAATAATATTGACATTGCACATTCACTCGGCCACAAAACACACAAATGACATTGACGTTTCAGTGGTGGCGCCACTAGGCGGCGAAAATTAAACTAATTTGCAGAACCGCCAACATTACAAATTTAAATTTGTTTATTACTCAATAATTACAATTAAATAAATTTTTAATAACACATTTTGATTCGCACTTATCTCCGATACATTTTATTCAACTTCTCCTCAAAAAACTTATAATCTTGTCCATCGACTAGGCGTCTGGGCGAAATAAAATTCCTTAAGGGCATTTCTATCCACAAATCGGCATTTTCTCTAACTTCAGATGGCGCTGCAAGAACTTGTTTCACCGCAATGGAATGTATGATTGAATCGAGTTGATTTTCGGTATTTTCAACCCACTCTTCATTAAAACAATCTGGAAAAAAAAACTCAATACAAGATAAAAAAAAAGAAAGCAAATTACAATTGTGACGCTCCAGTTTTGGTGTTTCGTTCGACAAGCCTTTCAACATATTCAAAGTGACTTTTCTTCGAAGTGTATTTGAAATAACGCTTTCAGGGGGGCTAAAAGGCACATCGATTAAACTCGTAACTCCTCGGAATTCACTCGAGTCTAATCCAAGGAAAGATGGAACTCCAGTGTGGGCAACATCGCGATAAAATAAATTCCTGTCACTGAAAAAACCCAATAATGTAAATCCCCAAAAGCTTGAATACTTACCTGTAAGCAAAGCGTCGATTAAATTCAAGTGGAAACTTTCGAAAAGTCTCAATTTCTTGCGAATTAACTTCTTGGGTTAGGAAATTAGGACAGGACATGTCGCAAAGATAAGGATACAGTTTTTTCACACAAATGGACGTTTCCTTGATGTTTGTTTTGATATCAGAAATGATTTTGGATATGTCACGAATTAAATTCTCGTTGCATTCAATTTTGCAAGTCTGGAAGAAAGTAGTTTAGTTTTCGAAAATGTATTAAATAAAAACTCACAATTTCATCTTTCACTTGCTTGATTTGTGAATTTATGACGTATATTTCGGTCCCGCTATCAAGCTGTCTGTGCGAATTAATTTTTTTATCGAGAAAAAAATTGATGGATTTGTGATAAACTTTCTCGGTTTGTAATTCAAACATTTCGGACCGATTACCGTGTATTTGACACTAAAAAAATCAATTAAAACACTGTTTAATGTTGCAAACAAACTTACCAAAATTTCTTCTTTACGTTTCATTTCAGTTTCTTTCAGTTTTTCCAATTGTAATCGATACTTGTCTTTCTTTAATTCCTCCTTAGCGTGTATAAAATACAATTSAGTTAAATCATCGTAATTCACCTCAAACCTTGAAAAATTGAATTATTTTTGTCTCAATGAAATATTTCTTGTACCTATTGAGTGCATTACAAACCGTTGATGGTGTCTGAACTCCCCTAATTAAATTCTCGTGAATTTCTCCAAACTGTTTTAAAATCAAAAGTCTGTTATTCTTGTACAACAAATTTTTTAAAATATTTTGAACTTCAGTATCATTAAACTCCTCAGACGTTTCAGATATTGAAGCAAACAAATTGTCCTTTTTGGGACTTAAAAACAATAAATCAAAATCGTCACTTATGCTGAGATAATCGGAAGGTCTCAATAAACCTAAAGACTCCCGATTTGGTTTTGCTTTAGTTTCCTCTTTGAAACATTTAGAAAAATTGTTAGATTTGAACGTGCATTTGGGTGTTTGTTGAGAGAGTTTTTGCAGCTTTTCTGCACACTTTTGTAGCGTTTCCTGTAAATAAAACAATCAGTGGAAAATCGTTTCTTGGAAAAAACATACAGTGATTTCATCACAGTTTGAATTCGCGTCCATTTCAACCGGAGTTACGTTCTTGGCCAAAGTTACAACTTCCTTGGCTTGGTTTATATCCTCCTCAAGCATTTTTGCTTTTTTCTCCAATAAAAACTTTTTCTCCAAATTCTCCCWTATCTTTGACTTCATGTTATCAATAACGGCATCTTAAAATCAATGATTAGACAACAAAAACAACATTTAAAAACTCACAAGTCAGTTTATTGGCTTTCAAAAGTTCTTCAATCTCTGATTCTCTCTCCCCAATCTGGCTCTCAAATTTCTTGACTTTATCCTCACATTTCTTCTTCTTGCCATAAATGTGAATCTCTTTAATCGGGTAATCAAACTCATCCTTGGAAAAAACAAGGTGGGACATGATAACACAATTTCTTTACCTTACCTGATCCTTGAGCGATTTTTTCGTTAACCGACTTATAATTAAATTTTTACGAATTGTGTCAACTTCGGGCCGGGGCCTTACATTTGTAATTAATTGTTCCCAAATAAAGGCAGTGCTGGGATTGCAGATTCTGAAAAAACAAGATTAGAATCGGAGCAAACACAACAAAAATCATACTTTGAAAAACTGGACGGAATTTGGCCATGGTATCCCAGGTCTTTTAACCAATCAATCAATTTTTCATCCACAGCCATTAGAAGTAAGCTTTTATTCAAGTTTTCAGTGATTTTTACAAAAAGTAAACATAACACACGTAACTGACACTAGTGTCAATTCAAATTCAAATATGACAATTGACAACCTCACCCACAACGCGCATGCGCAATTCCAAACTTTGTTTTTAAATTAATTAATTACACATCAAATGATTACGAATCGGGCACTTGACACGTTTCAATTGACAAAAAGTGACTCCCAATTCCGGTTATATAATTTAATGATTTATTTACTGTAATTTCATGATTGCGACATTGCGCCCTCTGATGGGCCATTTTGGCGGGTGATTCAAACAAGACGCTCGATAATAAAATTTTATTGTGTTATATTACAGTAAATTTCATTTACTTACTTGAAATTAAGTAACCGAAGGCCTGCTTACGCTTTATTATGTAAATATGTACAAAACAGTGGCTAACTAAGCGAAGAAACCCGATTTTAACACAGCATACTGTCATCAAAAAGTCTCTAATAAACCCACTTAAGATTTTTCAATATGTGGCCCTTTTTCTGTCATTATGGCTTTAATATCTTCCGCATCTAGTGTCTCGTATTTCATCAATGCTTCAGCTAAAGCTTTATGTTCCTTGGCATGAGCTTTGAGAATATGTTTAGCCCTGTCGTAACTCTCCGACAAAATCCTCCTAATTTCGCTATCGACAAGCTCATTCGTCGAGGGCCCCAAACTGTCCCCTTGAAACGGTTTCGAACTCTCAGTCATCGTCCTCAACCCAATTTTCTCCGACATTCCCCAATCCTTGACCATATGGGTGGCTATAGAAGTCGCTTGTTTCAAATCCGAACTCGCCCCTAGAAAAAAAAAACAATAATAATAATAATCCCCAGTTTTCCACCCACCTGAGGTAATTTTCTCAGTCCCAAAAATCAACTCCTCGGCGGCTCTGCCCCCCATCATCACATCCATCGTCGCCAAAAGCTGCGATTTGGTCACATGATACCGCTCCTTCTCCGGAATGTAGGCCGTGTGCCCCAAACTGGGGCCCCTTGGTATTATCGTGACTTTGTGCAATGGGTGACTGTCTCGCGTGTAGAAAGCGACGATTGCGTGGCCCCCTTCGTGGTACGCCGTTATGAGGTTGGCCTCTTCGTCGGGGATGCGCGATTTGCGCTCGGGGCCCATGAGGACCTTGTCTCGGGCCGATTCGAGGTATTTCATGCTGACGCAATCAGCCCCGTCGATGGCAGCCCTACAACAAAGCGTCAAAATGGGGCTAAAGGGGCGATGAGGCCTACTTGAGTGCTGCTTGATTGACCATGTTTTCGAGATCGGCGCCGGTGAAACCGGTGGTTCCCCGGGCCAGAAGCTCCAAATCCACGCCTTTGGCCAGGACTTTGCCCAAATATAAACCGAGGATTTCCTTGCGGCCGGTAAAGTCGGGCGTAGGAACTGTGACCTACAATTAAAACAAAAATACTTCAAAAAAATAAAAAAACAAAAAAAATTAAAATTAAAGTCTGTTTTTTTATTTATTTAATAACTCGAAAAACGTACCACATAGCTATCTCTTTTCAACATTTGCAGACAGCCTTGTTGCTTTCTCGCTCCGTATTTGCGAAATATATATTTACACACTCTCTATCATTATAATAATCGTAATTCAAGCCCTATAAAAATCCCAATACCAGGAACAAGCTTTAATTTTTAATTTTAATACAAAAATGTCAGAAGCTGTCAAATGTCAAAAACAGACGGAGGTCATGTCGTGTTCTTGATTCATACCGCCCCCACCAGCAAATAAAAAAATAAACTTGTAATTCAAAAGTTTGAAGTTCGAGCCCTGATCCGGGACACTACTACAATCTTTTTTTTTTAATTCTAACACTGTCTTTATTTGGAAACAATTAATTACAAATGTTAGGCCCCGACCCGAAGTTGACACAATTCACAAAAAACAAATTATAAGTCGGTTAACGAAAAAATCACTCAAGGATCAGATAAGGTAAAAAAATTGTGTAATCATGTCCCATCTTGTTTTTTTCAAAGATGAGTTTGTTTACCCGATTAAAGAGATTCACATTTATGACAAGAAGAAGAAATTGAGGATAAAGTCAAGAAACTTGAGAGCCAGATTGAGGAGAAAAAATCAGAGATTGAAGAACTTTTGAAAGCCAATAAACTGACTTGTGAGTTTTTAAATGTTGTTTTTGTTGTCTAATCATTGATTTTAAGATGCCGTTATTGAAAACATGAAGTCAAAGATAWGGGAGAATTTGGAGAAAAAGTTTTTATTGGAGAAAAAAGCAAAAATGCTTGAGGAGGATATAAACCAAGCCAAGGAAGTTGTAACTTTGGCCAAGAACGTAACTCCGGTTGAAATGGACGCGAATTCAAACTGTGATGAAATCACTGTATGTTTTTTCCAAGAAACGATTTTCCACTGATTGTTTTATTTACAGGAAACGCTACAAAAGTGTGCAAAAAAGCTGCAAAAACTCTCTCAACAAACACCCAAATGCACGTTCAAATCTAACAATTTTTCTAAATGTTTCAAAGAGGAAACTAAAGCAAAACCAAATCGGGAGTCTTTAGGTTTATTGAGACCTTCCGATTATCTCAGCATAAGTGACGATTTTGATTTATTGTTTCTAAGTCCCAAAAAGGACAATTTGTTCGTTTCAATATCTGAAACGTCTGAGGAGTTTAATGATACTGAAGTTCAAAATATTTTAAAAAATTTGTTGTACAAAAATAACAGACTTTTGATTTTAAAACAGTTTGGAGAAATTCACGAGAATTTAATTAGAGGAGTTCAGACACCATCAACGGTTTGTAATGCACTCAATAGGTACAAGAAATATTTCATTGAGACAAAAATAATTCAATTTTTCAAGGTTTGAGGTGAATTACGATGATTTAACTSAATTGTATTTTATACACGCTAAGGAGGAACTAAAGAAAGACAAGTATCGATTACAATTGGAAAAACTGAAAGAAACTGAAATGAAACGTAAAGAAGAAATTTTGGTAAGTTTGTTTGCAACATTAAACAGTGTTTTAATTGATTTTTTTAGTGTCAAATATACGGTAATCGGTCCGAAATATTTGAATTACAAACCGAGAAAGTTTATCACAAATCCATCAATTTTTTCTCGATAAAAAAATTAATTCTCACAGACAGCTTGATAGCAGGAATGAAATATACGTCATAAATTCACAAATCAAGCAAGTGAAAGATGAAATTGTGAGTTTTTATTTAATACTTTTTCGAAAACTAAACTACTTTCTTACAGACTTGCAAAATTAAATGCAACGAGAATTTAATTCGTGACAAATCCAAAATCATTTCTGATATCAAAACAAACATCAAGGAAACGTCCATTTGTGTGAAAAAACTGTATCCTTATCTTTGCGACATGTCCTGTCCTAATTTCCTAACCCAAGAAGTTAATTCGCAAGAAATCGAGACTTTTCGAAAGTTTCCACTTGAATTTAATCGCCGCTTTGCTTACAGGTAAGAATTCAAGCTTTTGGGGTTTTTTCAGTGACAGGGATTTATTTTATCGCGATGTTGCCCACACTGGAGTAAAAAACTGTACTCTTAAATTTATGACGTTCAAACTGAACAGTTATCAACTTAATTTCAAAGGCGAAGCACACTTTGATCGGAAATAACAAATACCAACCCGAAAGTTTGAGGTTCAAACCCCACCGCGAACCTGGTTTTTTTTTTCAATTAAATTTCAACTCACCTCAACATCAAACCTTCCTGGTCTCAACAAAGCCTGATCTAAATCATCCCTTCGATTAGTAGCCCCTAAAACAATAACTCCTTCATTTTGATGAAAACCATCCATTTCACTCAAAAGTTGATTAATTGTTTGATTTGCGTAAGGATGCAAAACACTATTTGTTCTTTTCGCACCGACTGAATCAATTTCATCGATAAAAATCACACAAGGGGCTTTTTCTTTAGCAGATTCTGAAAAAAAAAAATTAAAAAATCGCTCAATTGTCACAAAAACGTACTAAACAAATCTCGGACTCGTCTAGCCCCTTGCCCCACCAAAATTTCATCAAATTCAGGCCCCGCAGCGTGAAAAAAGGGAACCCCAGCCTCACCAGCCACAGCCCTAGCCAAAAGAGTTTTACCAGTACCTGAAAAACACTGAAAATTAACAAAAATAATTACAAAACTGTTTTGAAAATACCTGGGGGCCCAACTAGGAGAACTCCTTTAGGTAATTTGCCCCCTAATTGTGAAAATTTCTCGGGATTTTTCAAAAATTCGACTACATCTTTAAGCTCTTGTTTGGCCTCATCAGCCCCCTTGACATCATCAAAAGTCACGTGAATTTCCTCAGGATCTACTTCCACTTGATTCCCCAATTGAATTCTACAAGAAAAAATGATAAATTACAGTCAAAACCCCAAATTTGGGGCTCCCTTACCTAAAAATCGAGCCAGTCGTGCTAACCATCAAACTAATAACAATCGCCAGGAAAATGACAATGGTCAAAACCTGTTGAAAAACCTTAAAATATCGAGCTGCTTTCCCAGTTCGGGCCCCGGGGCTATTTGCCAACAAGTACCCCTCAGCGAAAGCCACCTTAATCCTCTGTTTCTCCGCCTCTGACATCGAGTTTCCCTCCGCGAAAATCTGCTTCATTTTCTCGTTCCCCAATGACAGATCTTTGGCCAATTTCGAGTCTAAATTCTCACTGGGGGCTAAACCAAGCGCGTTTTTGATCCGGGCCCCCAGACCAGGATTGCGCTGCATCTCCGCCTTGACACTCCGATCAGTCTTGAACCCCCGCACTTGGATGTCAAACGTGAAGGCGTTTTCGTGTCTCAAACCGTAAACAAGCTTCTGGTAGAAGTTCTGGGGGACATAGAAGTGTCTCCGATTGACTATGAGAGTTGGTACAGCGTTTTTTAAGTCAGTCTCGGCGAATCCGTGTTTGTTTTCGAAAAAAGTGTCATGTGACACGTACGACACTTTGAAATTGTTGAGAAATGAGGTGTCTTTGAGGTGTTTGGTGAACGAAAAGTCGCAGTTTTTGAGGGCCTCGAGGAAGCTTTCTTTGCACATGATTTGCGATTTGTCCTTGTCACGGAGGGCTTTCTTGTTCAGGAAGGCATTCTGACGGGGGGTTATTATCGCGGAGATTTGAGAGAGAGTAAAAATTGCCTGAAAGACAAGTTGCGCAAAAGGGAAAATCACGACGGGAAACTCACCTGATTTTGGTTCTGGAGTGAAAACATTGCGTCTTACATGAAGTGATTAGTTACGTTACATAAAAAACAACAACGAATTTGATCGAATTTTTATAAAAATACCACATTAACCTTTATGACACTTGACAGATGATTCCACTAGGCACTAGTCAGGCCCACCAACACACTTTTACCCTCACACCGCTCACTCTTCCAAACCGAATTAATTGCAATTCCTTGACCGAAAAATTACTCAAGTTAAACATACCCCCCTTAAACCCCACAAACCGGCTAATTCTCCTTATAATTTGGTGTATTAGAGTCAAATTAAATTAATTTAAGACTGTCGGTATGCCAACCCCCTGCATTACCGATTCAGTAATCATCGGCGTTAGTTCATTATCGAAGTTAATTTTATCGATAAAAGCAAGAAATTGGTTTAGTTCCCCCAAAACCGGGCCCAAATAACCACAAAAATGGACAGTGGTGACGACACAATCAATAACGAAAACGGTGAGTGTGTTTTTACCCCCCGAAAATCCATAGCGTCTCACTTGGTAACAATGTTTGTAGTCCGGAGAACCCGATCCGGGAAAATCGTGCGTACGCCCCCGGCGGCCAAAACCCCCGCGAAGAAAACCCGCAAAAAGGTCGTCCTCATGGAGGTCGAAGTCTCCGAGGAGGAGGAAGAACACAAAGTAAAGACCGAACCCGAGCATAACAACGGCACGGAAAACCACGAGGAAGTAGCAGAGGCCCCCATAGAAATTGAAACTCCAACTATTAAAACGGAAATAGAGGAAAATGACACTCCCGTGAAGGAGGAAAATAACGTGGAGGAGGAGGAGGAAACCACCAACGGAGTTGAGGAGGAGGAAACCGAGGAAAAACAAGTGGTGAGATTTGAGACAGTCAATGTGGAAATCAAACTTGTTTTTGCAGCCAAGTGGCGAACCCGACGCTGAGAATATCTCAGAGGATGAATTACCGACCGTGCAAGCTGTGAAAGTCCCCGAAACGGAAGAAGTCTCCGATGAGGAGTTACCAGGGCCGAAACGTGCCGAATTACCGGCTGATACTGAGGTAGTGTCAGAAGACGAGTTACCAACTGTGAAAAAGGAAGCAAATAAACGTAAACTGACAGAGGGGGATTACGATCCAGGTTCGCCAACGTCAGAAGGTGAAACGCCGGCTAAGAAAGCCTCACTGGAAAACACCACAGTTAAGGAAGAAGAGAAAAACACCAAACCGAAAAAATTACCAGAATTGGATAAATACTGGAAGGCTGTGAATGATGATCCTACTGATTTCACCGGTTGGACTTATTTATTGCAATATGTGGATCAGGAGGTGAGAAATGACTTAGAGTTGTGTTTTTTTATTAAGGCTTAACTTATTGTTTGCCAAGATAGGGAATTTTAATGCATTTTTCGAAAAGGTTTTTCTCGGTTATTATAAGGAATTTTTTTGTTTTTATTTTTTTTGATGAAACCATTTTAGATATTTCTAGGGATATTGTTATGTAGCTAAATTAAATTCTTATTTTTTTATATATTTTTTAACTCATTTTTTATAGTATTTATATGGAAACTAACAATGTCCTGCCTACATGTACCAAAGATTTTAAGAAAAAAAAATGAGCTTACCGTAAGCAGCCCCCATCACCGGTTTTATCTGATTTATGACCTTACGAGGGATGTTTAGCATCTACAGGGTGTTCCGTTTTTATTGTTACAAATTTAAACAGGTGATAGGATATTCAATTCTAAGACAAAAGTTTGCTATAAACATGTATCGAAAAATGCTTGGTAAGGGTGCTACACCCCCTGGAAGGGGGCTAATATGTTTTTGCTAATATTTCAGAACCCATTTAAGATAAAATTACAAATTTGGTACAGATGATAACCTTTATACACCTAAACGAATTCAAACATCAAATGTCGAAATTTTTAATCAGGGGCGTACGAAACTGGGGGAGTTTAAGGTAAAAAATTACCCTATTTATTTTGGCTTTAGTTTCTCGGTACTTTTAGAAACAAAATCTTAAGTTCGATAGTTTATCACAGAAAAGTCTCTCTTGTGTCGATACGACTTATTTTTGAATAAAATTAATTTAAAATTCATGTTACACACCAATACAACATTCAAATAAATCAGAATTTACAGAATAATAAAAGCAAGAAATTCATATTTTTTAATCAACCTCAACTAATTAACATTAAATTACAGTAACAATAATAACATTAATTAAATGAATTTGCCTAAATCTAAAGGAGTTGTTCAAAGTGACCACCATTTTGGTCAATGCATAACTAAAGAAACTAAAGCCAAAAAGATAGGGTATTTTTTTACCCTAAACCCCACCAGTTTCGGACGCCCCTGATTAAAAATTTCGACATTTGATGTTCAAATTTGTTTAGGTGTATAAAGGTTATCATCTGTACCAAATTTTGCAATTTTATCTTAAGTGGTTTCTGAAATATTAGCAAAAACCTATTAGCCCCCTTTCAGGGGGTGTAGCTCCTTTATCAAGCATTTTTCGATACATGTTTATAGAAAACTTTTGTCTTAGAATTGAATATCCTATCTTCTGTTTAAATTTGTAACAATAAAAACGGAACACCCTGTATAAGGAAACAACTAAAAATACAAGCTGTAAAACTAGGTCATTTTAAGAATTGATGTAAAAGATGAATAAATTTAATAAGACGATGTATTTACCAGGTAATTCAATTTTTCACCAAAAATTAAGTCTAATTATTATGCAGAAATGTTAGGAATAACTTGAAGCTTTTTTTCCTACTGGATACCTGCTTACAAAAGTAGTACTTATTGTCTTCATAACAAAATACTGTTTATTGCTTGAGAGTATGTAGGTAGACAAGAGGCTTATTTTCCTATTTGCTGTTTCTAAATAAATTTAAATTGTAAGTACCAAATGCTGCTCTGATTTCATATAATTCTAAAGGTAAATATTTACATTGTTTGAAAAAGGCTGTAAATGAAAAAAGTCCGGGATATTATACTACTAAATATGTAAACGTACAACAAAAAATAAAAGCAAATAATTAAAAACGAAATTTAAATAAAAATAATGACAACAATCTAGTAAACAGAAGAAAAATTACTGAAGAAGCGGTGGTGATTATTAAGGCTCGGATTATATGCACGAAAAATCCGTAAAATATGCACGTATTTTCACAAAAATATGCACAAAATATTAAGAAATATGCTCGAATATATGCCATATATGCATCGATATGCAAAACTTTTAACAATAAAAAATCAAAGTTGCAATAAATTTTTATCCTGGAGTACACTAAAGTTTGTATTTTCATCATCTTGAATCGCACACGATGAACGAAAGAGAATAAATAAATTGGTTTTGCCTCAGACAAGCCATTTTAATAATCTAGTAATTAAACCTTTTTAAGAAAACTGTACTTTTCAAATCACATATTACCGTCAAAATAATGTTACTATTACATCACTTTAAACAATTTTGCTAAAATTCATTTACAGGCAACTACTTAACCACATAGAAGGATTTATTCGTTTTATACCAGGTGGAACCAAACATTTTTTGCTTAAACTATTTTTTTTAACTAATTGTTGAATTAAATATTTTATCAAAAATAAAATTTTTCGAATTCTTTGTTTTTGTTTTTGAGTTTTACAACAATTTTATTTTTTTTTTTTTAAATGGCAACCCACAAAAAATATTTTGTATATCTACTCTCCCAAAAACAACTGTGTTAGAGACTATCTATTTTTTATTAATTTAAAAAAAATACATAAATTACAATTTTGACAAAAAAAACGCATAACTCAAGCAAAACAAAATTTCATTTTGAAAATACGATCTGATTTTTTATATTACTTTATTTTATATTGATCATTATTTTTCAGAGGCAAATAATTTAAAAAAAAACCGTTTGGTTCTAAACTTCAAATTCACTCTGTGTAAAAAGAATTTAAAAAGGAAACAATAGCTGGAAATTTCTGATTTGAAAAAAATATGCACAGATATGCATTATTTCCTAAAATATGCACGAAGTTGCCAAAATATGCATTTTTTAATTGGCTTATTTTAATCAATACTATTTTGTTGATATACCTCTTATAACAAATATGCATTTTGCATATAATCCGAGCCTTAGTGATTGTAGTTGTGTTGTGCAAAGATGTTTTGAAAGTAATTAAAAAAACTCCTGAAAAAATTCAGACAATTTTTAATCAAACAATTTTATTACAATCACTATTTACCAGCTTATGCTGAAATGTGTTTAAAAAATAGTTGCTCTATGTAAAGTACAGCCGCTTGCAACTTGTAACGGTAGTGTTTTTTATTCCATTTGTTACTGTGATAAGTGCTAAATAAATAAATAAATAATTCAGCCCTACAGGGTTATGTAGTATTTTTTGTCTCTCAAAATGTTTTTATTTTTTAACTTTTTCTAATACACATAATTCCTAAGCACAGTGAAATTAATATAAATATAAAGTTTTAATTTTTTTAGGATTACGAATTGGGCTTAGTGCCTTTACAGTGTTAAACCTACCGATTTTTTAAATTAATTTTGAAATAGATGAATAATTAAAAAATGTTGCAGAATGACATGGAGGCGGCCCGTGAAGCCTACGACGCGTTTTTGTCACATTATCCATACTGTTATGGCTATTGGCGGAAGTATGCCGATTATGAGAAGCGGAAAGGGAATAAGAAAAAGTGCGAAGAGGTGCGTATATTATTTTAGACATACTCCGTGCAATGCTTATACACTCACATAATTATTTTGCAATCCCTACAGCTCGGCGTGGTGGCTGCTAATTGTAGTGAAAATATAAGATACGATATTGTAAATGTATATGTAGTCTGTTACTTATGTTATTTAAGTTGTAATTGTGTTATCTTACATTTGATATACAGTGAAATACGTTAAAATTGTAAAATCACCCCCAAAAGAGTCACAGCAAGGTGAACAGCGAGGCTTGCATCGCTGGATATAGTTTCGCAAACCGAAAAATGTAAGAAAAACCAAAATAAATTCCACGTGATAGGATGAGATAACTGAATTACGTACAATATATAAATAAATTAGACTAATATTATTTTCCAGGTGGCATTTATTTATGTTTTGGTGTGTATTTATTTGCGCGGGGGGCGCCAGGTCAGGTAACCATAATGATTGTTTATTTTTTTCTTGGCAAACAAATACACATCAAAAGTAGTCACGAGTTTGAATTTTACTAATTTAATGTTGTAAAGGTATTCGAGAGAGGCTTGAAAGCGATTCCCCTATCGGTCGATTTGTGGATCCACTACCTCACCTATGTGAAAACGACCAAACCGGACGATGAGGAGTACATCAGGTCGCAGTTTGAGAGGGCTATCGCCGCCAGTGGACTCGAATTTCGCTCAGATAGGCTTTGGGATTCGTACATCAAGTGGGAAACGGAAGGGAAACGGTTACAACACGTCACTTCGATTTATGACCGACTTTTTACAACGCCAACACAGGGATATACCACACATTTTGAGAAGTTTGTTTCTGATTACTGTGTTTTTTTAATTTAATTTGTTTTTTTGGCAGTTTTCAAGAGCACATCACGTCGAATCCCCCCAATAAAGTGGTTGAAGTTGATGAGTTTTTGGCGTTACGGAAGGAAGTTAGGCATATGTTGAAGCATGATGCTGCTAATGAAAATAAAACTGATAATTCGGATGTGCCGCCGGGTGAAGATGATGCCAGTAAGGCTACGAGTACGGATGAGGAGACTAAAGCGATAAGAGAGAGGATTATTTCGATAAGGAGGAAGATACACAAGAATACAGTGGCGGCGGTCACGGCGAGGTGGAACTTTGAGGAAGGGGTAGGGATATTTTTTTGACTAATTTTTGTCGAATAATTTTATTTAAATAGTGTTAAACTGATAAAGAAAATTGTTAGTGTCTTATTTATGAACGAAAAATTTATATACTTTGATGTTAAATTGATCTAAAGTAGCAAAATTGATTTCTTACGTGTTTTTTGTTAGTTTCACAATTAAAAAAAATTCTCTTATTTTAAGAGATTTTCTCAAACTTACGAAAACAAGAACAAAATGAAACTTTTTTCAACAAAAATTTGATGGAACCATTTAGAAAACTTAAAAATCACGATTTTTTTATTGTTACAATGTGTTATTTTTTATTGTTAAACCGATGAAAAAAACATTTACAAAATATATCTTTTTTTCGAATGTAACCAACAAAACTTTTTGTTTTAATTCTGATTAATATTTTACGTATCTATCATAAATAAGTAAAAAAATGTGTGGTACTACCTCGATTTTTGCCCAATTGCGTTCGATTTTAAAAGAATTTCTTTTATTTTAAGAAAGTTTCTTGAACTCACAAAAAAAATGGCGAAATCATGATTTAAAGGTTTATTTGTTTTATTTTGACATATTTGGATGCAGAATATACCAGATATTTAAAAAGAAAAATTAAAGATAATTGCAAAAAAGTTTTTAAATACGTTAGTGGCTTATTTATTAATGAGGAATTTACATTTTTTTTGTTAAATCAATCTAAAATAGCAAAGTTTATTACTTGATTGTTTTTTGTTTGTTTGAAGTTTTCAGCAAAAACATTTCATAACTTAAAAAAGAAACAAATTATTGTCATATTTCGATACGATTTTTAACAAGAATTTCTCTTTTTTTAATAGATTTTCTCAAACTTACGAAAATAAGGACAAAATGAAACTTGAAAAAAATAATGATGGATTTAAATAATACATTTATTGCTAAACCGACGAAAAAAGATTTAGAAAATAAGTGTTTTTTTTTCAAATATAACCAACCAAAATGTTAATTCTGATTAATATTTTTTGTATCTATTAAAAATAAGTAAAAAAATATGTGATGCTACCTCGATTTTTACCCAATTGCGTCGATTTTAAAAGAATTTCTTTTATTTTAAGAAAGTGTCTCGAACTTATATTAAAAAAAAATGGCAAAATGGTGATTTAAAGGTATAATTTTGGTTTGTTTGTTTTATTTTGACATTTTTTAACGAGAATTTTCCTTATTTTATTGGTAAACCGATGAAAAAAAAAACAAGAAA